TAATATACAGAAACCGATAAAAAACTTACAAAATGCAAAAGATGAAAGCTTTCAACACGATGACTTGACAGTGTATGAATTAAAGACAAATTGATCAGGAAATAAAGGGATATTAAATAAAAAGCCGAAAGTCAAAAATCAAACAGCAAAATCCGATTTAAAGTCATTGATTCGTTGCATTATGCCGCTCCGTGTTCACCGGATGTGTAATTCAATAGAGCACAGAGCGAAGCCCAAAGTTGGAAATTTAAAATTTAGTCGACGTGATTACATGCCCAGTTAAAACCTATCACGACCGATCTTTTGATCTTTTCCTAATTTACTCCAACGATCAGCTGTTTCTAAACTTCAATCAATTCATTATTATTATTTAATCAATTTAACTGAACCCTCTTCTCAAAAGCGAAAGTTAAAACTTTGACGAGTACCTACGTTAAAAACAACACAATCTTAATAAATAATTCATTAAAATAATGACAGGAGTCCCTTCTTTTATAATCCTGACTGCAGGACACTCACAGAAGCTGCTGCAGTTACTTTGTGGTTCGTCCTACCAGGAATTAATTATGAGAGAGATTTTGCATCCAGGGGAGTTTTGTAAACCCTGCAGGCCTTTTTTTTGTTCTTGACTTAAGTGTACCCTCTTAGCCAACAGGTTAATACACTGCAGGATACCGATCCTTTCCCTCCATTATTGACGTGGAATTTTCACAATGCTCAAAAGAGTGGTGAAAGCTTTTACAATACGGAAATAAAAACTCTCAGGTAATTGCACATTTTAAATCAAACAAAATATTTAAATAAGAATTATATTTTCATGCGTTATTGCAAAAATAAAAAAAATATGTCACCAAATAAACAGTTTTTTGTTAATGCTTAGTACAATAAAAAACGTATCCGGGGTACAACAAGGGCTGAATACATCCGGAAATCATAATTTAGGTGTTCCTAAATGCATTGATATATTTACTTAAAAATTCAACATGGTTTCAACTTGATTCATCTTTACGGAAATCAAAATAGCGGTTTAAAATACGATTTCACGTTCATTCATAGTCGTCTCAGTGGTCTTTATATTACGACTTATAAATTATTGCTGTTTTTTACGGTTTTGTAGAGCAAATTTTGGGTCTTTGCCAGTCATTGTTGATGTCTGCCTTTTATGTCTATCTTGCAAGGAACTCCCACATAATTCATGAAATGTCATGCCACAAAGGCTCATTTATTGCCAGAATTTTCCGCTGAGCTTTACCGTTAAATTATTATTTTTTATCACAAACTAAATTAGACTTGGGGTTAGAACAACAATAAGTAAAACAAAACTTATTTTTTAAATAATGTACAAATACTATGTATATAAAAAAATCATACAGGTGTGCCAGAACTTGCCCCAGAGAAAATTTTGACGTAAGGTAAGATACCAAAAACATGGAAAAAAAGTTTAAAAAAATTTATCTATCAAATTTATTTTTTGACATTTGACATTTTTTATATCTATTTAATGATACTGATAATCTTGTCTATGTTTTTTTACAATTATTCAGTAAAGGTACAAAAATTTTGCCAATAAAAGTTACAAATAACATTGAACAGAGTTACAATTTAGGATACAGCTTTATTGTTTCCTCTTTTAATAACATATAGCAAAAAAACTTGGAAATTTTTTTCCCAACAGAAATAAATAGAGATAAAGTGCAAAATTTAAACTCTCATAACTTCGAAATTTTTACAAATAATTTATTTATAGATAATTTTTTAACATTTAATCTACCAACTAAATATTTTATAAGGAAAATAAAAATTTATATAAAGGTACCTACATACTGTTAAAATTTTTAGTTGCAAAAAATTACTGCTAAAATTTGTTACTATAAAATTACACGCCGTTTTGAAACGTATCACCACTATTACAGCACAAAAGGAAGCGGGCGTGGGAAAAACATGAAGGTGGCAGTCCAAATCAAAGACAAATTTGCTCTTCCGGGTCTTCCCCTATTTAGTATCTTTTATACTATTATAATAGTCATTTGAAAATTAAAATTTATGGCTTGGGCATTTGCACTTGGTCTACGCTTTCACAAAGACACAGCATCAATCGTAAAAAAACCTAGCATTAACCCAGTGAATAAAATTGATGAAAGCTCAAAATATCCATAATCCTACAATAAAAACCTAATAAATTAAGATTTTAACCCCTAAGTTGACGACATTACAATAACTTAGGGCCAGCAGATGCGTTTAATACGAAGACACATTGCTTTTTGTCACGTTATAATTTAGGTCTTAATTTAGCTAATGAAATATTTTATCAACTTTATTTCGCATGATTCTCATTGCTGCCAAATTTGGAATAAATTATTTTTGAAAGGTTACACTGTCAATTGTCATCGTGAAGTGCCACGTGTTCGCAACCAGACCACTAGATCAGCCAGATTAGTAGGCACGTGATCTGTTCATTAGCCTGCCACGTGTTTATTCCTACGCTTAACGTTTTCTACTTGGTGCTTAATTGTGCTCCTCCTATTGTTCACTTTTGATGGCTGATAATATTTGTTTCACATAAGATAGCTTTAATTTTTTTTCACTAAAATGTAAAATGAAAACTTGTAGGAATAAGAATGAAAAGTGGCAAAACAATAGCTGTGTGTCTATGTGAAAATTTTAGATATCAAAAAGCATTATAATTTACCGGCTTGATACTTCTCACTGGTTCTTTTGGCCTGTACATGTGAGATAAAGTAAACACACTCACTCACAGATTATGTTGCACTAAATAATAGATTACACTTTACTGAAAGCTTGCTAAATGCTTGGATTCGTTTCTGTCAATGTTAATCTAAGCTTGACATATTTTAAAAAATTTATAAACGGATTCTTGTATTGTTTAGAGAAAGAAAATAAAAAAGAATTTATTGACAGCTTACTACTTGTGAACGGTGGAAGATTTTAAATATTTCAAGTAATATATTATAGTGTCTGTAGCCTTTTCTACAACTTAAGTCTTAATAACCATTAACCATTAAAAGAAATGTGATATACCTATTGCGTTATGTAACTGTAGTATCATCAACTCTAACGAAATGGATTGTTTGGTTAAAATTTCGTTTTTGAAATGGTGTGTTTTTATTGGTACACCGTTTAGCTACATTTTTGTTCTAATTATTTTGTTTTAAAATTAATTAAGAAAACTGTTTTGATATCTTTTTATTTAATTTATTAATTTTTATAATCTATTAAACCCCTCGTGTGTGGTATATAGTTGGGAGTGCTGGCACATATCGATCAGGGTTTTTTTTTGTCCAGGATCAGATTACTGTCAATGCAAAGAGCAAAGTCCTGTCGGGAAGGAACACAGCAGGAGGCACTCGGATATCGGCCACATTCGATTACTAGCAACCTCCTAAATTCGGACAAACGGCTGTCATACGAAGTGGCTCCTCTCCGAAGAGGGTTGTCCGCATAAAATCCTGTCGTTAATTGCTTCATCAGTTTTAGCAGGATTACGGCGAGACGTCAAATGAATTAAAACGGAGGTATCTCACTCTGCTCAGCTTGATAAAGAACTTGTTCTTAATTGAAAACTGATGTATATTTGTGCTTTTCTCGTGTGAGATGGTGGAATGTGTGTGTGTGTTTGTTTAAGGAAAGGCTTTTTCACGCAGACATAATGGGAGTGGAGGAAACCAAACACTGATATCTTTCAATTATTTAGAAATGAATTAGGGCGCATGCTAGACACGTGTCTTTTGTATATTTAGATTAATTTCGGGCGTTTCATTTTGGATAGCGGTTCGTGTTACTGTGCAGGTTTCCTATTTACAGATTAAAAGCGTTTTCTGAGCATGAACAAGTCTTTCTACACTTTTCGGGTAATTAATTTTGCTTGCATGCACAAGATTCAAAGGAGAAACTTAGCGCACAAAACATAACTTTATGCTAGGATTTAAAATTGTTCAAAAAACAAAAATTAAAAAGTGAGTAAGAGAAGCGGAAATGTATGTTTTTCAATTAAATGATTAAGAAAGTACTTTTGTAGGTTGTAGGTGTATTTAATATAAATAATAACATTTTTTTTGTAATTATTATACCTACAGGCTGGATTATAACAATTGTTCCAAGGCATACCTGCATTATTTTTAAAAATAGGACAATACTTCTTAAAACAAAGTTGCACAATTTATTGTCATCTATTGTTTCAGACTGATGCCCAATCAATGCTGCTTTCTGTTTCACCGGAACTGACATCACTGACATCAGTTTTGATTTTTTAAATGGAACATCTGTATATTATTTTTTTTGGATTTCTTGTTAAATTGTGTTTTAACAACCTTACCATTTTTTATTTATTTTTTAGGTAATCTGAAAATAAAATAAAATAAAGTAGGTAAGAAAAATAGAACTTTTCTATTTATTTTATCTAAAACAAGCAAACGACTGATTAATTCTGATTAAAGAAGTACGTAATGTTTTTAAAAGTAATGAAATTATTTCTGGGGGCGTTTTGTATAATCCAGCTCTGGTATGTAGACAATTTAATTATTTCTGAATTTTTGAATTACTTATATATAAATGATAATTTTCATATTCAACAAAGTTTTTACAGACACAAACATTTTGATGACTGATCCTTAGTTTAATCAAAAATTTTAAAAAACATTTTATCATTGTTTACCTATTTTTTTGAGATATTAAAACAATTATGTGTTTGTTTTTGTTTATTTTATTATACCTGTCATTTTTTTATGTTTATAACTTACAAGCTAATATAAGAATCATAGAACACTTTTTTCCAAAATTAGTAATTCTAAAATTTTGGGAAGGAATATTTTTACAAGTTACTAAATCTTTAGATTTAAATTTTTTAGGAACAAAAAATTGAAAAATTAAAGTACTCCTATTTAATTATATTTACTTACCTACTCGTATTTGTAGTGTGGAGAATTTTTTCTGGTATGTAGGTTTGGATAATGAAATGTAAACAAATTTTCATAAAATAAATACTTATTTATTTCAAGTAGTTTCAAAGTAAGATTTAAACTGCATACACAAAATTTAGTTTGTTTTTACGACAAAGACTTATAGAGTTGTACATAATATTACAAAAAATAGTATAAAGCGTTATAAAATTTAAAACAATCTGACTGAATTAACCCAAAGAATTCACCAATAATGTTTTGGTTTTAACATGATCAGTTAAACATTTTATCTGTAAGTTGCTTTTAAATTTACAGCAAGAGGGTTGGAAATTAGAAAATTTAATCCAAAAATAAAAACGTATAGGTATACGTATGATGTATACTTTGTCAAATAAATATGTGGCGGTCAAAGCAAACAATGTCTTACAAATAAAATATTTATACGATTGCCAAAACATATTCGGACGTGAGTAAAATCGCATTAGTTTTTCATATTACCATTATCATTTAATGTGAACGAGAATCTTATTTAAATGACTAACGCCATTTCACCCAAAATTTAGGCAATTGAGTATTTTTACGTTTTATAAAGCTACTTTTAATCTAAGTACAACATAAACTGCAAGTTATCAGTGATCCTGATATCAAACAAAATTATATAGCTACGACCTACAAAAATTATAATACAACCAATTGGGTTATAGTCCGCTTAACCCATGGACGAAATAAACTGTTATTTACAAATTATCCTTGGAAATTTTTAATGTAGTGCCTTTTTCGCATTCGAAATATACAATTTTAATTACACATGCACACTCACATAATTATTGCGTCTTTCGATGATATGTACACTTAAAAGTCTTAGATTTGTACTTGAGGTAATTAAGCCATATTCGCGAACTCCATACTGCAGTCGGGAGGATGCCTTGGTCCAAAATTTTGGTGGTGTGGAGCTGCCATTCCCATGGCACTATATCCAGTCATTTGGTACGTCCCAGCCATATTGTTCATGGCTTGCATATGGTTCTGGGTGGTCTGCGAATTGAGATAATCGGGTTGCATTTGCCCATAATACGTGGGCGCATAATTTTGGGCATAATAGTTATGGGAAGAGGTGTTGTGACCATGTCCATTGGTCGTCCAGTTAAACGAGTTGTACTCGTGCTGGTAGGCTAAAGGCGACGCTGACGGCGACGGCGTCGTGATAAGACTCGAGGTGTTGCTCCCATGGGGTGTGATGTTTCCTGTGGGTCTGTAGCTCTGCATCTGGGGAGACTCCTTCTTGATATTCACCGTCGGAGGCGACGCCGAAGTGGACGGCGTCGGTATCCCCGTCGGCGTGGGCACAGTCCTGGGAGTGGTCGCTGGTGAAGCCTTACTGGCCTTAACTTTCGTCGGAGACGTCGTCGTTCTCGAGGCGTTCTTGTTCTGTTGCTGCTGAAGCTGCTGCCGGCACTTAGCGCGTCGATTCTTGAACCAGACCTGAAAGGAAAAATGGCTGTTAACGACGGGTTATGCGGTAGTTTCTTCATATCAATCTCGAACACATTTGGATTTTCCCCTCGTAAAAATTGCTAGTCGATAATACATGTTTTATAGGTTGCTCGCCGGCGAGGAGGTTTATAAAGGCAAGAGGCGGGTTGTTTTCATGGAACAACCCCACATAATCCGGGAACTAATGGAAAACTGCCCCCTCGTTCCATGTTCTACCTATTGTGTTATTGTATTGAATAAAATATATACAGTTATCCCAGTGCGGTGCGTCCACAGATTGGATGCTGGGGGAATAAATTCGCAGGCCGTTATTGCTCATGTGAAATCAATCTTTGTTTTGGGACAGCTATATTGTGTTTAATTTGTAACTGATTCAACGAAAATACAAAATTTCATGATTTATCGACTCTAATTAAGATAAGCAATAATAATAATTGTTGTAATTGTCTCAAAATGCAGATTATCATCAATTACGAATTTAAAAAAAATGTCAAAAATAAATAAAAAGAATTATGTAAAATATTACAAATGTATCAATAATTATAAGTTATTTCTAAATAAAAGTACTATTGTCTTCTCATATCTTCAAAATTTTAAGCTTAAAAAAGAAAAAGCCCCCACTCAAAGCAGAGCATAATATCAACAAAAGCAACTAAAAATTTCTTATCATAATCTTTATAATCTTACATAATGTTTTCAAATCTATTTCATAACCAAAAATACTCTGAAAATCTAGTGTTTGCCACAACATAAACAAATTTTAAAATGATAGTTACTTAGGAAACACTTTGTGGTGTTTATAGTTACATTTTTCAAATTAATTTCACGTTGATTAAATATTTGAGAGATAGAAACTGTTAGTATTTCTTTATTTATAAGAAACAATGTGAACTTCAAAAGTATTATGTAGTTTGGCATAAAAAATTATATTCTCAAGACTACGTTACTTAATTAATATTTTTATTTACCATGTATTGGTTGTGCACAAAATCTATGTGCACAGGCCGCCAAAATTAACCGGACAACTAAAATTTTGCAATTTTTCACATTGCAATATTTTTGTTATTCTTAGTCAGATTTCGACGAACATTTCTAGTTTTGTCTTGTAAATGTTATATGTACCTAAAAGACGAAAGCACTGTTTTTTTACTTTTTTTGTACTGAGCTGTAGTATGCAACAGAGACAAAATTAAGTTTTTACTTATTTCAGATTATTGCCCGTTCTTTTCTGAATGAGGACCAATTTGTTTCAAAATTTTATCTTTAGGTACCCCAGAGATACAAAGCATTGAAAAAGACGTTGCTTTTCTAATGTTACTATAAATATTCGTTCAGAAAATAGGCTACATAAAAATGTAGTTAAACCGAAAATTATTGCTTATGTCACCAAAAGAGCACAATTACGTCTTTGAACACAAAAAATCTGAAAAACTTGGAACTTCAAAGGATTACAAGGCCTACTTAATACGAACATTCATTGAAATCGGAAATGTAATGCTTTTTTTGAAGGTTTATATCTCTCATGTCTCAAGAATTAAAATTATAGAAAATGTGGTACACAATTCAAAAAAAAATGGACGATAATTTAAAATCAGTAAAAACTTAAGTTTACCTGTGTCGCACACCACAGCTTAATATAAAAATAAGTAAAAAAACAATGGCTTCGTCTTTTGAGTATCACATTTAGAAGACAAAACTAGAGATGTTATTCAATAAAATTACAATAATCTATAAAGTTTTTTCTTTAAGCTTAACAAAAATTTGTCGAAATCCGACAAAGAATAACAAAAATATTGCAATGTCAGAAATCGTAAAATTTTAGTTGTCCGGTTAACTTTGGCGACCAGTGTATTTTTATTAACAAGAATTAATGTCTATTGGCTCCACTTTTGTTATCAATATAAAAAAATACACTCATGGATACTATTTTTTTTTTATTTTATAAATTATTATGATAATTAATTATTATCAAAATTATGATATTACAAAATATTTAGAATGTAGGTACGTCAAAAATTAAATTATAATGTTTTAGCATTTACCAAAAACTCAACACACTTTCATTGTAAGTACATACATAGTTTGAAAGAGTAAATAGATAAATATCATTTTTCAAAAATATAGTTTTTAGCACCTTGTAATTGCTTGGCGAGCATTTTTAGCACATATGAGCTGCATGGAACGTAGACAAACAGCAGCTGTGCTATGTGAAAAGACTAACCAGCCTTCAAATTGAATCATTACCCAGAGGACGGCAAACATTCCGCCCCTTGTATTATACCATTGTCATCGCTACACCACAAATGCAAGTTGGAGCCTTAACTCAGCATGTCGAACGTATAGAAGAAAAACAAATATACCGTAGTTGCATTTTCCACAGTCTCATGCATTATTAGCCCTTTCTGCATCGATAGTAAATTCCAGATGAAGCGCTACAAATTACTTTAAATGCAAAAAGGAAATAAAGGCGGAAATAACGGTGTAAAAGCCGGTAACGGATTTGTTGACATAGCTGGTTAAAGCGTGTAAACGCATAACTCATTTTTCATGACACTGACGAAAACTGTCAACGCTTTTCAAATTTGTGTATTGGTTTTGGGCAATAAGTCACAGTGTCAATGTTGGGGTAGACACATTTATTAAACATAGGTGGGCTGAATTCGGACACATACCTGCACTCTGGACTCGGGGAGATTGATCTTGACGGCGACTTCTTCTCGCATGAAGATGTCCGGGTAGCGTGTTTTCGCAAAGAGTCCTTCTAGAAGGTCAAGTTGTGCTCTGGTGAATGTCGTTCTTTCTCGTCGTTGTTTTCTGGGGTTGACGCCTGCAAAATATGAATAAACTAGGCATTATGCTTTTGCCAGTAGACTGAAAAACATTAATTATTCAAACATTGTCCACGACCGGGACTAGGAAAAATAAAAGTGTTGTGCACCTGGCAGCCTCCGAGGATCTCTTTCTAATTTTAAACCCGAATAACCCATTTATCACAAATGACTGACATAAATTCGTTAATTTGCATTCGAATTTATATCCAGTAGCTAGTCGGTTGGAAAAATCAAGTTAACAAATCATCGAAATTATTCTTCTGATCGCTGTCTCGCTTTATATGGTAAATTATGCCTCTGGATGAATTTCGTATAAAACTCAAGACCAGTAGCAGGAGTGGAATCAAATCTAAATTGTTCCAGTCTACATTTTCAACTCTTTATGTGCGTGCTTGCCGGATTACCTCGCTTGTTCAGCCAGCTGCTCTCTCTGTAGTCCTTTTTATTCCCGACATTTATCGGGGATTATATCGACGCGGCTGCTTCGAGGACGACTGCCTTTATATTTAATCAATACCTCCCAATGACTCCAAATTATTTTTAAAATTTATTCCTGCTCCATGTGTACTACACCCTCGAATAAATATTGCTCCGCTGTTCATACACGGAAACGCAATAACCTCAACAATCAATGCTTCGGGCTACCACCGCACGCAGGCTCTCCCGAAGTTATTGCCACTTGGGGTTTCCGTCTACTACTGCAATGAATACATCGGGTGCTAATAGATCTGTAAATACTGGGGCGGCTATTCTCCAAGGGGCGAAATTTGATACGGCGCTCTCAAGAAACCAATGCACCGTATTAAACTTCTAAATTATTCACCACCATAAAATTCTCGTATTTATTTCAAATCACTCAAAAATATCACATACCTTGATTTCTAATTTTAATTTTAATTGTAGTTAGAGTTTTCGATTTAAATTACAACACAATTTCTGTTAATAAAATCGTTGCAATTTCTTACAAAAGTCATTCCATTGAAAATGCAACTTTTTAAGCCACATTTTTATGAATGTACTTTTAACTCTATTTTTTAAATTCTAAATATCAAAAAAAAAACTAGTAGAACTAGTTTACTTTTTTCCTGTTTCACCAAATCCATATTTGTTAACTTTACATACTCTAGTTTTTGTAATATTGTAAATATATCGCACAAGGTTTGGTCGATACGGGGGGGTGAAAAAAAAGAGCAAAACTTAAAGTTTTAAATACCCCTACATTATCCGACCCTGACGATTGGGTTTATTTTCAATTACGAAGCTCATGTGTTAACTCAGATTAGCATTTTATCGGCGAGTGTATGTGTTTGCATTCACTGAGTGCAGCCAGTAGTTATAAGGGGTGTCAGGATTACTCTAAAACAAATATTTTCTTAACTTTGAACATGGGCGAAAGGCAAAAAAGTCATTATTACATCCACCAATTGTCTATTCCAGAAATCAGATTGTCAATTCAAAATTTGTTTGCCGTGAATAGATCATTGGAATGATTTATGTAAAGCCATTCAAATGTAATGTTTATGTTAATATTGACACTGCATAGTTTTAGACCGAAAATTTATATGTGAAAGAGTAACTGCGTTAGTTAATCGAGCTAAAATGTTTTTCCGGAGTATCGAATACAATTTTAGTCGTTGGAGTGAAATGCCTAATTTAAAACTAAACGAAGATGATACGAGTCGAGTAGCGGAGGCCCTTGGGGCCCGTCAAAACGAAAATACGACACAGTAGATTTTCTGGTTGCAATTTTATTTGTAAGTAGAGCGTCTCTGCGCATTATCTATCCCTTGCTGATGGCGTGGTGTAGAGAAAGAGGGTTTGGGGCAGGACGTGGAGCTACTCCCGGTGCAGGCAAAGAGAAGTGCCGTGTCAGAGAGAAGCTGAGCCGATTACCGGGGTGGTGGGTGGCCGTTGGCATGGCGACGGTTGTATAGCAGTCAATGCCTGCAAGAACTCTCTTTCTCTTGGTTTGCAGAAAGAGACCTCGTTGTCAAGGTACATGTGCTTTAAAATAATATAAACAAAATAGTACACGTCAGACTCAATTTTGGCAAGAATTGGGGCCTAACTACCACTGTTTGCTACTGTGAGGAAGAACATATGGTCGCTTGTTATGCAGGCGGGAAAGATACATTTCCTAAATCAATTTGTCATTTTAACTTTATTTGCAGAAGGGAGTACAGTTTGTTTTTTTACGCGCCCACCCTTGTTTGCTTTCTCTCCTTTCGCTATTGATGTTGCATCTTTTCCATGTACCTAACTTGAAATCAATAATTTTGACCGTTTCCGACGCTAGAACGGTCACAGGTTCTCAAGATATTTAAATTCAGTGAAGTAAGTAATCAGTGAAGCGCTTGGATGGATACAACAAGTCATCTCTGAAGAGAAATTTTGATTTTAGAAGCGAAACGCCATAAGTACACTAATTGACTTTGTCTTAATCTTTCAATTTCTTCACAATTTACTCCCACACTACAATATTGATCTCTCTACTATACCTAGTTAGTAGTACTCCTACACCAGCTTAGCAGTGATTGCATTGATCACCCTGAATACATCTACATTTGAATTATAGAGTTATCGACCTTTTACCCATTTTCAATACTGTTATTAAAGTTATACAGAAAAACTGTATACTATGTTCACAAAACTATTCTACAAGGATAGTTAAATTTGGTTTATTATTAATCTCAAAATAGTTCGTAAATAACAGTTACTACTCACTAAAGAAAAAAGATGTCTGTGTTGTTTGGCTAAAATGTGTAGGTAGGTATTTATATTCTTTAGTAAAAATTAAAAATAAGTAAATAGAAAGAAAACTATTAGTAATTCATTTTTATAGCACAGTAAGAAAGATATCAATGATCTTATAAAATGTCATAAATACCGTGCAATCAAAAAAAAATAAAATAAATTAGAGTAGGCGGTGATTAAAGTCCTTCAGATGGCAATCATGATTTTTGACATCAGATGTCAGCGGAAACTTTGACAAGTTTGAGTGGAATAATGTTCACTTTAGAGCAGAAAATTTTTATTGTTGCTAGTTATTACAAAAATGCTGTACCTACAAGACGAATAGGGTGAATGGTCATTTTCACAGTTAGTTTGTTTAGAAAATTTCCAGCCCAGATTCCCAGCCAATGTGTTGCCAACTGTAGAATTTAATCGACGCCTACTCTATTTTTTTTTTGATCGCACGGTATCTACTCAGTTGTTTTGAAGCTTCTGCCTCTTCGTAACTTACATCACTTACCGCAGGAATTAAGCGTGCAAATGTATATTTTACTCTTTAATCTAGAGTGATTTATTAAGAGAAAAAATCCCAGTTCAACATTTCATGACCACCGTTAACTGGACGAATTGTCGCCTGTTTCCGCTTGATTCCAGGCTTTATCAATTCGAGTCCGCCGCGTCTGAAAATCTGTAGTGTTGAAACAGCACGTGCGAGGGGCAGATAATTCACGGTTAAAATACCCCAATAAAACATCAGTGATTCAATTTGACACCCCAGAGAACGTTCATTGGCCAGGTGGTGGTTCCCATCGACCAGAATTGCTCTCGCTGCGAATCGAAACTAACTTGGCTACTGTATAAACGCGGTTATAAACTGAGGCAGAAATTCAATTTGGCCGCACTTCTACCGTGAACAATGCCATTTGCACCCTATTGCATACATTATATTTCCGACCAAGAGACCGGGAGGTTTCCAAATTAAAATTAATAATATTCGTGTCAGTAACAAATCCAGTACTTTGCATGATTAGAAGAGACATTATTACAACTCGATATTATCTAAAAATATGTACATTCGTATGATATGTATGAACAATGGTGGTCCAGCCATTGTTTAAAATGACGTTGTAAGAACGGTAACCCGGATTAGCCCGGATTTAAAGTGTGGAGCGGCTCCTGTGGATAAAGTCGCCGTTACACGCCCAAATCTCGCAATTTTGATAACATCCGTCGTTTTGACTTGAACTAAAAACCGATCTGAATGATATTTGTCGAATAACAAAGACACACAAATTAATTTATGAAAGCGTGCTGTCACCTGAATCAGAATTTATAAGTGACAGAAAAACAAGCTACATATTTAATTCTGACAACGCATAAATAAGTATTGTGCTCGTCTTTCTCGTTTTAATTAATTTCACAAGAACTTGTTTTATTTAGATTTCGACTCGCCTCAAGATATTTTGTTTAAAAATGGTTCCGTCGGGATTATTGATGTGACTTTTGAGGGGTCATCGGGTAGTAAACATACAGTAAACATATACGTATACGAGAAGCCTATAAAAATACAGTGACACGACACTTGGGAATAAATGGGCTTCTTACTGATACTTAATATCTAGCAAAACATCCACGTTCCGACACCTACAATTTCTAATTTAATTACATCCAGTTATTCTGGAATGATTGCCTATGTTTGAGACCAACCTCATAATTTATTCCTGTTAAAAAAATTAGATCAAAATAATTAGCATAAATAAGTCTTTAGATAATTCGAATGTATCTAAACTAGAATCATGTATATAATTAAATCAAAAAATGTGTAAAACAAAATAAAAAGTTTCTAGTGTTGGATTTGCTATTTCCGGAAAGAGATAATTTTTTTGTTGGCTGTGGGACAGTATTGCTGACAATTAATTGTATAAATTTACCTTGCGGGAAGGGAACAGACTCCAGAGGGTGTCCCAGACCGAAGCCTAGCGCGGGCATGGGCATCCCGGAAAGCCCGCCACCCAGCCCGGAACTAAGCGAAGGATGCGGCGCATACGGCGGTCCGTGCGGTGCCGTTTGTTGCTTAACAAATCCTTGCATGTTCATTGGGAGATAAAAACTTCCTTCGCCGACACTTGCCGCACACCCTCCTCTGTTATCTTCTTCTGGTGGAGGGGTCGTTTTGAGGCAGGATATTTTTACTGCAACAACAGAATGTCACCTCAAAATAAAGAAATATTTTGTTACATCCGACGCATGAACGACAAAATTCTCGGTAAGAAAATATTGAAGTTTGCCGCGTTTCCACTTTTTCTAAAGGTTTTGAAAGAAGCGCTGAAAGAGATAATCTGCTAGAGATCTCTGCCGCCATTTGGTGGTAAGGATTTTTGAAAACTAGTTTGTTTCGTGAAAACAGGTAACGAGGTGGAAATATTTAACGACTTGTCTTGCAGCTTCTGTACTTTTTAAAGTACGTTTACAAAGAATCTGCAGAGGTATCGGTTAGGAGAATCTACGGATAAAGTTAAAAGCAAGTAAGAAAATAAGAGCATTAATTATGTCTGATATAATATACGAGTAGCATTCGTATCTAATAAAGTTTTGATCTTTAATTAAATACTTTCTTTCCTCTTTCGTTACTTGTGTGCCTATTTTATATCAAAATGAATTACAGATTTATACAAATAATATGTTTATCTTTAATAACTTCAATGTAGTTAATACAATTTTTCCTATATTTCAGCAACACAGAAATTTACTATTAGTTACTATAACCGAATCGACTCATGATAGACTTCTTAACGTCGTAAGACACCTAATACCTACTCGTATTTTTAACTGAAAAATATGTGTATCTTTTATAAGTTTCTTAAACTCTTTTATAAAACAAACATTAAGAAAACTTATGAGTTTAGAATATTTTTTTTTATTTCAGTCTCATTACAAGTGTATATGTTGCTATCAGATTTACTATTTACTTTACTACATCTGCATACATACTAAAGTTCGACTAACCTGTAATTTTTGTAAAAGAAAATCACTTCCGACTAGCATAGATACATACTACACAGATATAGATACATACTAAAATTCGACTAACCTGTAATTTTTGTAAAAGAAAATCACTCGACTAGCACGGATACATCCCTTATTATCACATATACATTCAACTATTGCACTAGGTCCGCCGTCGGATCACAAACACTGGAATATTTACAGAACTCACATAATACTAACGTCAATTGCACACTTTTTGTCGAAAAACTGACCTGTTCACCTTAACCGATTTGTGTAAACTGACTCTAAGTTCGACAGTGGTTTTATATTTCATGAGGTAGTTACAGTGTTATTGGGGATATGGCTACGTAGATAAAGGTAGACTAACCATTGTAGGTACTGGGGGATGATCACCGATTGGTACCTCATAGGGTCGAGTGAGAGGGGCACAAAGTTTGCCTTGAGTGGGGTAGTGCAGTTATTTTTCTCGATTGTTTCTTGAATTTGCCGGACGTGAGACTATGCAGTTTCTAACAGTGATTTTTTTCTACCAAATTTACCTGCCTTGATAGCAAAAAATTACAGAATTGAACCAATTATTGCACTGATTTTAATAAAATTTAGTACTCTCGTTCAAAAATGTATTTTCCAATTTATTAACCTAACAATATAATTTAATTCAGTTTTCATAAATAATTAACTCTAAACATGTACCTACTTAGTTAAAACAATAATAAAAAGATTTGTTTTAATTCACTTTAATGTACCTTTACTGTAAACTGTTTAAATTTTATTTTATATACTTACACCATAACAATCAGTTTGTCAAAATTATTTTGTTGGTTTAGATTTATTGCAACCAAGAGGGTGTTAACAAGGAACACCTACTTTCTATTCGAGTTACCAACCCTTGTGCACTCAACATAATTATTGTCATTAGTATTTTCTAAAAGTATTCACAGTAAAAGGTCTAGAGATTAATACCTGGGGTGACTTTACTTCATAAATAATATTCACTGTCCACAAGTCTAAATGGCGATTAGGAATTTATATCCTAAAGGTAAATAATCTCTATTATCATTTTACAGAGAAACTTAGGACACTTTTCTCTTCAAGTGTGCATAGAAAGGGATCATGCAGGTTTAGATAAGAAAGTTTACATCTCACCTGGTGATAAGTAATGACTTTAGCTGGAATTTGTGACGAGATATTCTTGACGTGAAACTTACTGACAAACAATTTTTCAAAGAGATTTTAAAACACACAACTAATAGAAAAATTTGTATAAAGAGGTTTATTGGCAATTTATTGACGATAATTCTTTGTATTAAATTGTAGACTAGTCTGTAAAGAAGCCATTTTTGTAATGATACAATCGCATGTAATCCGTTTGAATAATGACACTTATGAATGTTAATGCTTTAGTTAATGCAATAAATCGATGTTAGTCTCATTCCAATATCGCCGTAATTTTGAATAAATTAACTGGTTTGCTCATTTTAATCTCATTATCTTTACAGATATCGATGACTGTATTTGAAACGCTTATTTGGCGCTTAAAGTCAACACATTGCAGGCCTTTTCGATTGTTTAATTTAAGAAGCCTCCCCAAACACCAACCAACAATGACAATTGAATAAATAAAAAGCGCAAATAGATAGTAGGGAATAATCCAGGATAATCAGGATGAAGTCTGTAATAAAATAACCCAATAATAGAGAGAAAAAGCGTGTGCCAGGCGAGGCAAAGCAGACAGACTCCGATTATCCTGCTTATGTATGTCGATTACTTCTCTAACCTGCTTAGGGCCTTGCCTTCACGTGTTGTAAGAATGTGTGAGACCCGTTTTAGGTACTCAGAAATTCCGATACTATCTATTTTACCACCCTGCGAAAAGAGATTTACTCGAGATTAACGACGCTCAAAACTAACCACTGTGTAACTGAATTATATGACATTACGACTCTGTTATAGATTTTATACAGATTTGTTAAACTTATTTAGTTAAGGTTTATTTAGGCAATTTAATAGTCATATTTATAGCACCAAGATTGACAACCTACAAATCAGATTTCTCTAAAAAAATATATAATGCTCAAAGGTGTCAAAAAGTGAAAAAATAAATTTTAAAGTAATTATGTAGGTGGAATGTCGTTTTCAGATTTGAAAGCCCTGTGTATCAAGTTAAATTAAAATTTCATCCTTATAATTTATTCATGGAAACGCCAATTTATATTTGGTAGAAAATGCTACCTAACAAGACAGCTAGCTCCCAGTAAATTAAAAAGCAATCTAGACTTGCCAATGGTACATGTGGGTATGTCCTTACTTTCCCCACCAAAGCAAAGACACGCCCTAATGTGGCACACGCGCTCTTAATACTCTAAGCTCCTCCCAGAACAGCTGCAATGATTTTTTTGTCGGTTGTCCTGTCAATAAAAGAACAAAAAACGATGAAATGTATCTTTGACGTTGATGTGCAGTTGGTCTTTCTACATTACGTATACAACTATAATAGATACGTATATTTTTTACATTAAGATTTTTGACATGTTTTGTTCGTAGTTTTCATCACGGTATCTGTAATATTGATAAATGATGCTATCACTATTGAATTTAACTGTAATTGTTATTTTATTGGTTTATTTAGTGATACTTAAACAAATTATGTATTAAATTTAATATTATCTACATAATAGAACATTCGGATTTTTCAACAGTGAACAACATTTTATGGATAACTTTAGAAAAAACTTTTCAAATGTATTGGTTATGGTAGTCACAGCTCTATAAGCAATCAACATTATATACACTGCCTTTTGTAAACTTCTACTTAATTTATTAAAACAGCTTGAATACATTTTAGAAAAAACCTTTTTTACAGAAAGTGTCTTTTACTTTAAACGAAAAAGTCGACTTTCAAATTTTTAGAGTTTATATCATATTTTCCACTTACTTACAAGGTGTTTCCTGATAGGTGAAACGACTCTTGTAAAAGATAAAAATTCTCGATTAAAATTTTTATTTTTCCATTTGGTTAGACTAAGTTCTAACATAATATAAGTTTTGAAAAATTAAGTATTTCTTAGAAATGTACAAAAAAACTTATTTTACTGTGGAGTAAAGTACCTTTTATGTGGCAAATACGAAAAAAGTTATTAATAAAAGTTGTTTAGAACCCTCAAAATATTTAAATATTCAGTAAAGGAACTGACATGATCTTCATATACATGTGGAGAATGCCACAAAAATGATGTGGCTGAATCTGTATGTTACCGTCAAAAGTACACTGTAGGACTCTAATTTATAAAAACTGTCAAAGTTATTACAAGTATCTTCAAAAATTTTAAACAGTACATTAATTAACTCATAGTGGTATCTGAGAATGTATTTTGGTTTGCGTCTGAAAATCGGTGAGAGTAAGTGTGACAGCCTGTATATCGACTTTACTAATGTATACAATTTTTGTTTTTTTATTATAGTTTGAGAAATATTTAACATTTTTTAAATAATTTAAACAGAGTAAATAATTCAGCAGGCTGACTTGGATAGAATGGAGCACACAGCCTCTATTTTTATAATAGAGCATCAGCAGGCTTTCTTATTGAACTTTTTTATTTGAGTTTGCCAAAAATTTAACATTTTTAAAAATTCAAATAATACATACAGTCTGTTTTTTCTTTAAATAGAAATTACCAAGTCAAAATTTTGGTGAAAAAATAGGTACCTAGCAGCTTGTCTCCGTAGCCACAAATTTTGTTTGCTCTTTGTTTTTGTCCCTAGAAATTGTGTTAAAAAATTATGGCTATGTTCTCAAATTAAAATGTTGTCAAAATTTCGACTTTTATAAATATTTAATTTACGATTTTTTTATCTGTTGCAACAATACAATTTTATCTGAACAAGGAAATAATTCCAGTGACCCTCAAACCGTGTACCAATATTTTGGAGTTAAATAACATTCTTGATAATAACAATTGTGCGAGTTTTTTTTTTCAGTTACAGTATTTCTGTACCCTTCTATTACTATTAGGTCAATTTTCAACTCCAAGACTGTAAACACCCTGTATATACAGAAATAAGTTATTTAGTAAAAGATACAAGTGGGTATTATGATGATTGGCAATAAATTTTGTGTAATTTATTGAAATGAGCTCAAAGTTGATGCATTTTTAAATTCCTTGTTCGCCAGTGTACCTACCTACATGCTTAAAATTTATTAAAACTCAACTTATTTAAGTTATATTATTATATTATTAAGTTATAAATTTTATTTTAATGTGTATTTTTATAAAAAATATGAATATGTATTGAACATTTTTAGATTAAAAGTACACGTACAAAACTAAATTTTTCTATTTCGCATTTGCTATGACGATTTTGTGTAACAGTTTTATCAAAAACAGTGTCACAAAATGCAACTTTGTAACTTGTAACATTGTTTCTGACAAGTAAAGGTAGAGTAGGTATGCAATATTTTTACCAGCACCGACTGCATACTGTCGTTTAAAAGTTAAAAGTTATTGTGCATACCGAAACTAATGCAGTTTGAACTACATACAAATTTTCCGGCTTATTAGAATTGTAAACACGGAATTTCGGACGATTTGTCGTTTGACTGACATAAAAATGTAAAACGGGCTTCAGGCAACTAACCTCACTGTTGGTTTTTGTAATTTTTATCCTGACAGCTAGAGGAAAAATGACAACAAATTAAAATAATTTATTAAACTTTTAGAAACACGTATTGCTGGCATTATTGTTTTAAAAAATCGACGCCAAAAATTAAAATTAAAACTTTCAAATTTTAGTTTTAAACGTCAATCATAATGATTATAAAGCATGGCTTACATTGACATTTTTAAACTGACATAAATTTGATGTCCAAAATTCCGTGTCCGCCATTGTATTTCTCATGGAACACTCTGTATAAATTGTGCAAGTATGCAATTAAACATCCTTTGCGTTTATAATGTTGCCTAAGACAGTTATATAGAGCCAGAATCCACGCTCCAACAACATATGTATACCGTCTTTTATGCCTGAACAATTTATTATCTAACAAGTAAAGTTTGTTTTTTTAAATAGAAATGCACCATTAGCAAATTCATTGGTTATTTTAATAAAGAAAGTTGGCAGTTGCAATTTTTGAATTAATTTGAAAACAATCTCATCAAACGTCTAAGAAAAAATCGTGTAAGAAAATTTAGAGAGTTTAGAGAGAATTTAGCAAGAAATTGACGAGAATACACAATAAACAAGAATGAGAAAGAACGCAATTATTAAATAAGGGTGTCTGGTTGCACTTTATTTGAGAAAGGAGTCAATAAAGATACAATTTTGTAACTAAAGCTGAAGAAGAATTTAGAACATGCATCAACTTCGAGCTTACACAAAATTTATTGCCAATCTTTATAATACCTGCTTGTATCTTTTGCAAAATACCCTTTTGTTTTTTGCCCCTTTTTTATTGAAATTTTTATAACATTGTACTTATACTTGCGGTGTTTTTCTATAAAAATTATTAGCATTACCTTAGGTAATGACCTTTGTTCTCAAGTATTCGATTATAACGCTTTCAGAGAGAAAATTGTTAAAAGTCAACATTTTAACATCTCAACATAAAAACATAACCGTAATTTTTTAACAAAATTTCTAGAAACAAAAACAAAAAACGAACAAAATTTTTGGCTATGGAGATAAGCTACAACCAATTTTTTTCACCAAAATTTTGACTTGTGGTTTCCATTAAAAGAAAAAACTTTATTTAAATATTGAAACTGGTATAACATTGCCAGTTTTTCTAAAAGTCACAAGATTTAAAAAAATGTAAAAATAAGACACAACCTGCTAATAATTAACTTACTTTTATAGGATTATGTTTTTTACTTTGCTTATTACCTTGACTTTCTATGATGCTTCTTATCTACAAAAGTAGCACTATAATAATAATTATTATCGTCTACATATACTCGCATTCATTATACGCTTTTTATTACAGTTATTATTAAAAATTGCAAAGATTTCTAAATTATATGAAACACATTAAATATGCATAGGTAGCTTACGTATAAAAATACACATGTATTTTTATTTATTAAAGAATTACGCCAACTAACAACTATCATCTTCTAGACACAACTAAACAGACTTTTTTTCTTATGAATAAGACCATGGCAAAAAATTTTTTGGCTGAATGAAAATCCTTTCCAGTTGTTAACTTTGTAAAAAATGCGCCCCATAAATCTGTGGATATAATTTGAAAGTCGTTGTTGAGCAGGGATGAAAGCTTATAAAAAGCACATTTCATATCATTTGACAGGCCAAAGCGGAAACAGCCCTCCAATAGAATCTAGTTTAAGGTGACAAGTATAGCATCCTTACCCCATGCAGGCAAGAGCGGCTTGATTTCTTTATACGCGGTTTGGTCACAGTTAAACCCTCATTCTCAACGAGAAACCATACATAACTGTTATAAATGATATGACAATAGATAAGAAGGAAATTGCAATTTGCAAATTGCATTCAAATTTTCAGTTTCACATAATGATTAATTTTTTACGCGTAGTTATACCTAAATATGTAGTTGAAACGAAATTGAGAAAATTTTATTGTATTTTACATCAACAGATATCAAATATAAGTACTCACATGGCTGAGATCGTCGTTGTCTATAATTCACATTTCCATATGTACAAAACCTTTCCAAACTATGTACTGCCTCTGGAGGCCACATTTTTTCATCTTTTTTGAGTCCTCAAGCATTCCTAATGCTGTTGACAGTCCTGTACAAAAATAGTAAGAATAAGATTTTCGAAACACAAGTATTAGTTGTAAAATTTTTAAGTATAGTTTAAATATTAAAAAAAACTTGACTACAGACATTTTTATGTTCTTTGCCTTTAAAAATAAGAAGCTCTGAAAGGTGTCGTCGTATTAATTTGGTTAAAAAGACTAAATAAAAATTTTATTTATGATTCCAGGTATTTTAAAAGCAATAATCCAATAAGTGTAAATCAAATATTTTCGTGGAAATCGTTATAAAAATGAAAAACATTTCTGAAATTTTAGCATTTAAATTTTATGGTCGGTGCTTGCACCAAGCAAGCACATTATTACTATGTGTTTCGAGTTCATTACTACTAAATTGCACCATTAATCAGACACCCAATTAGATTTTAACAAATTAACATAGCTATAAAAATCATATTAAATTTAGAAGAATTTTAATAGAAAAAACAAAATATTGCTATAATAAAGTTACGAAGGCTGAATTATTCATGATAATAATGATACTCCCTTCGTCATAACTAAATATATTTATACACACTTCTTTATAATTAAGAAACAGTTAGATATTGCCGACTTGCTACCGAATCCAGTTTGACGACAATAAATTCTCTTTTTATGAACTTATGTAAATTCAGTTTCTATATATAGGAACCCGTTGATGATCACGTTTCTCCTCTCAAAACTGATACACAACTCACGTTCGTTATTGCCAGTTTCCAATAACCTCAAATGTGCCCGCGAATTTTATCTCGCATACGTTTCATAAGTGAATTAATATCTCGTCTTTATGTATTAGGCAATAAAATAATGTACAGAAACTGTATCACATAAACCAAATTTCTTACAGCACCATTCCAAGAAAAGCGTAGCAAATTGGATATATGCTACCACCCGAATTCGAATAAAAGTAACAAATGATTTAATTCACCACACTTGACTGCCAGTTTTCACGCTCATAATTCTTGACATTTATTTATTTCAACTTTTTTGCACCTGTATATTTTACATTATTTTTTATTATTACGTTTAAATTTTACTTTCTTACATATTTACATACGTGTTAGACGTATGAAAACGAAAAATTAGGTAGCTATATCGGTTTTTGTGTGTTTGAGTATAATGTTAAAACTTGAAAAAAAAAATTGAATTTAGTAGAAGCTGCTTGATTTTAATCTTTATTCAGCCTAACAACATACTATCTTATTTTTTACATCTAGAGAGGAAAAATATAAATACCTATAGTTGTATTTGTCACTTTATTACAAAAAATACATTTTTTGTATAAATAATATACAAGCATATTTCATTTTGTAAAATCTATTTTGACAATTGTATGCCTAGTCTAATACAAATGGTGACTTAACATCTTATAGCACATCAGCACCACAAAAGTACCGAAACCGCTTTCTGCACATGTATCTGTCATACACATGATAAATGACTTAGTTTTAATAATCAAATTTTATAACCAGTCCGAGAACTTCTATGCAAACAAGCGGTTCGGAGCTTCTCTGGTGGAAGCAACGAAGGTGCGGTGACATTAAAAAATTATACACAGCGTGGCTAACCTCACAATGTAACAAATAAATCACGGTTGTAACCTTCACTTACACACATATACCTATACACGTAGTCGGAGAGAGAGGTCACTGTTTCTGATAACACAACTCTTCTGTATTACCGACACAGCTACCGTGGATTACTTGTCCTTATAAGCTGAATTTATTGGAATTTATATACGAACATCGGCTCGCTGGATGACTTTGGTGGGTCCAGCTCGTTCTTTCAGTTTTCATCTCAGTTTTTTATTGACCAGCAAAAATAAAAAAAGTTTATTTGTACACTTCAAGTTAACACCTTAAAAGCAAAAGGAAAAGATACTACGTATTACTGAAATTGAAATTCAGCCTCTACACATTATGATACCTACTTGTTTGACAAATTTTATGCATATAAGACATATGCTGTTTTCTTTTTATGTTTCATATTGAAATATTATTGTTATTACTATTATTCCTACTATTATTACTGGTGGTTACCTATAACTTTAAAAACACTATCGACATATGCATGTGAATATGTAGATTTACTTGGTTTTTTGATGTTTAAATAGATTTTTTTTTAATTAAGTGAAAAGAAAATAACTAAACAATGATCTATGTATGTATTTCAAAATCCACTTAATATACAAGTGATAAATCAAAACAATTTTAAAATAATAATGTAACGTGCACAAAGGACTTTAGTATTGAGCTAATATACTTTATGATTTGTGTTTATGATTATGTGTAAATGTAAAAGCTTATTATTTTCATAGTTTTGTGCCAAGAATTACATAATAATTTCTCCTCCTAGGTAGTAAGTACGAGTAAAAAATGTAAGAAAAGTTACAGAAGGCATTAATAGTTGTAATATTGTTTTTCCCTGTTTTTTTTTGATGTGTTTGAGTTTTTAAAATCATTCTGATTGAACAAATTATTATCTTCGAATTCCTATAATCTAAGACTAAATATTTAATTAATTATAAAACATACCAATTACGGTTTTCCTCACAGAGCATTACATTTTAATAAATTATTCATAAGTTTATAAATAAATCAATTTTGGTTAGTTGGTATACCTAATACACAATGCAAGGCATATGTGTATGCGGAAGAAACAACTTTGTATTGACTTCTTTATTACTCATATAAATATTTTTGTCTTTGTACCTAATTAAAATATTTATCTTAACTTTAGTTTACATCTAAAAATTAATGTAAATTAAATTAATACTACATTTTATAGATACGTACAAACATTACAAACGCTGTAGCAATTAGAAATAACACATTGAACCTTAAATTCTCTCACAATCAGCTTATATTCACTATAAATCATGAGTCCGTTTTGTTACTGGATTAGATGACATGACCTACATAAGTAACTAAGTTTCAATTAATCAAAATCAGTTATTGCAGAAGTTTACTTATAAGGACAAAAACTTTTTCTAATTATTGTTCTATTAACCGGTTGTTGAGCGTTTAAAAATTCGGCGGTCTCCTCATTAACAAAGCGCCGCCGAAGGAAACTGAAAGCTGATATCTCCAATTTAATTTATACCTTAATTGGTCATTTTTGAAAATAAAAGTGTTAAAAAATTAGAATGCTACTATGAGAAATATTGCCTGACTGTTTATTCATATTCAAATTTAACTCCATCACAGTCTGAACGGCGAGGAATGCGGTTCTTTACAAAGGTGTTGAATCGGTTAGTTCGGAAGAATATTTAGATAGTGTCGCCTAACATATATTTCAAATTATGTTTATTAGCGACAACGACGGGTGGGAATCGGTTACCGAGTTCACATGGATCACGTAAAAAATGGGCTTCCAAACGACGAAATAAAACGACTACTCGAAGTCGAATCTTTTCGATATTATTCAGGTGTTTATAAAGTGAAAAATAGTTAGATTTTTGCAAATTTTACAACACATTCCGGGCTTGAAAAGTCTACAAAACAAGGAATGTGCTTTTGAACAGTAGCATTTTCCGTAATTAATTGTCCATAACTGGAAAGCTATTAGCACTAAAACGGTAAAAAAATATGATTTTATGAGAATGTTTATGGACAACCGGTAAGTGCCAAAATACAATGTGTGGGAAGTCGCAGTACTCGTATATGTACAATTTATATATTTTATAATAGCTACGTAAATAAAAAGTACGTTTAATATGCAAATATAATTTTAAACACAATATATGCGGAAAATGCATTGTAAGACTTTTCTCATTTAGTTAAAATTTTAAGTCAATGCATCTTGTGGAAATCAGCACGAATCATGAGATTTATAAATTATGCATTAAAAAATAACAGGCTACCGTCTACTGTTACTTGATTTATTTCTAATTTAAAATAAAATAATATATAGATAATATCGTGTGATTCACGTGACTTATACTCATAATGGTTAATAATTACCGTAATTATTATGATGCGGCTTATAGATACATTTTATTTGAAATTTGCATTGGGTGTATTGCACCTGTTACGATTTTAAAAATTAGGCATTATTATTTAATCTTACTCTCTCAACAAATACTGATTTTTCCATAATCAATGTTTAAATTTTAAAAAAAGATTACAGGTAGAAATTATTAATTAATTATTTTATTTATTTTGGAGTCTAGCAATAAGCAATTATTTTTCCTAAATGGAGTTTTTCTGGGCGGGTCAGTGTTTCAACTGAGTGGTCCCCATCGGAAATTCCACAGCATATTTCATATATTGTTATTTTATTAGAATTTGACTCATTCAAAAAACGTATAAAACGGTGTTGTTCGGTGGCCACCTAAACACCTGTGCTTCTCGCATATTCATCATACCGTTGTATTAGTATGGAAATATACGACCTATGATTTTTTTAGTTCCTTCCCTTTACAATAGTGCAGCCGACCTGCTCGAAACAAGATTATTCACTTCACAGAAATTAGATGCATCTTTCTTCAACTTGAGCTTGTAGCAATCTATTCAAGAAGACGTCGCTTTAAAATTTAGTTCGAATTAAATTATCCTGTTTTTAAATTAAGGCAGACGTAGCGACATTTTTTATATAAAACCAGTAGTCCGAAAAAATAAAACGAAATGGTCATTGGACTACAGGTGGACGCGGTGGTGATAATTTAGATTTTATTGCTTTTTTATACCTGTTTCGGAATCATCAAATGAAATTTTATGCAACATATTATTTAATGGAATATTCTGAAATAACCTTCGAGAATTTTACTACAAATTTTATACTTGCAAAAATCGTTTCTTGCAACACTTGGATATGTAATCATAACGGGGGGTACTTACGCACACAGATATTCAACCATTAAAATAAATTAAATGCCACTGAGAATAAATCTTAGCAATGTAAAACTAACAACAAAACTTAAACAAGACACAAAATCACATGGTGACTATCACAGTATTTCTTAGGTATATCTGATAAAACTTAAGTAAAAACG